ATTGCAGTTGGGATTAGAATTTCACAGTTTGTTTAAGTTAGAGCTCCAAATAATCGCCACCTTCCATCTTTGCCCACGTAGCTGTGCAGCCCTGTGGCACGCCCCTGCTGAAACAGGATCCAGCTCTGGCATTGTGCTCATTGTTGAGAGACTAATCCCGACAATTACACCTCGAGACCGAAAGTGGGCTGCCTTGCCAGGCTATGGATTAGGCCCCTGTTTGCCCCTGGGGGCCTTGAGCCCCACCAGCTCCCCCATCTCCCACCACTCAAACTGCTGGTGTGTCTTTCTCAAGTTTTACTCACCTGCACTTTGTTCACCTGTCGTTCCCGCGCAAACACAGCCGGGTTATTGTTGGGACATAAAAAGGTGTGTGGACACAAAGAGAGGCATGAGAGCAAAGGGCAGGTATTTCAGGTTATGGCGCGCTTATACAGCAGCCCAGAAGTAGGCAAAGGTTTATTCCTCACAGATTCATGTTTCTGAACACTTCACAGTGTGTCGGCCTGATGATATATTTTCCCTGCTTGTACAGGATGGGTGTGTTTCAACCGTTGAGGATGATGGTGCTTTAGCTGTTGTCTGTGTTGTAATAGGAACAGAGGAGGCTGTTCCCACAGAAGCCTGAGCTGACATCATAAAAAAAGCACACACACAACAAGGTACCTGGGGGCCGATGGGGAGGGCGGAGGTGAGCGTCGGGGGGGAATCGGCGGGTAGGAGGGTCGAGGGGGGGTTTGAACTCAACCACCATTGGCTAGAGGCAGCGCGGGGGACACACCTGTGAGCGCCAGAGGCTAAGGAGATTGGCTGCGACGTGAAAATTACACCTGTGGGGGAGAAGGGGAGGGGGGGGGGGGTCAGACTACATGTAAACCAAGCCCTTTACACATTCAGTCACTGTCTTCTGAGGAGCTTAACCGTCGAACACCGAAGACCAGAGCTCCTGGAAAAAAACAAGTTCTACTCGGGCAGCAGGAAGAGCACTGACGCGTTTCAAACTGGTTGGTTTTGTTCCGGGGTTTGGCCCTTCCTCCGATTCCACGGCTGCATCTACCTGAAAGGGACGACTCTTTTTTTCTTCCTAACCGCCACTCCAGAGGTCGACTGTCCTTCAGCGGGAGCAGGAAAGAGGAAGACTAGCCAACGGGGCGTCAAGAGCCCTCATACAATGATGCCTCTTGTCTTGGCTTTCTGGCTCGGTGACCACACCTGGGACAGGCTGGGTAAACTCACAAACGTGATCCCTTCTTTGTCTCCGGTCTCCATCTTTAAGACTTGAGCACGACCTGTTGCTCAGCCAAGGTAGGGTTAAAAACTTTTACGGACATTTGTTCAAGATCAGGAAATGTGCGGCAAACAAATTAGGTCATCGTACGAAGCCCTCTCCGATTGTTTGCTGAAACAGGAGGGTCTAGGTAGTTTCGATGGGAAGCATAAAATAACGTGTATCAAGTTCCAGCTCCTTTTAACGTGAGAGAAAGAAGAGGAAACAATAGAAGCAGACGCTCATTCCTAAACTGGATAGACCAGTTGGGGCAGGTAAAGGCAAACTGCCAGACTTGTCAAAGGATATGAAGACAGTGGCTGACTCCTTCTTTTAGAGCGTTTGAATGTGCTTTACAAGGAGACAACAACGGTATGAAACCACTTTACCAATTATTAGTCTAATAGTAACACCATACTACTTTAACAATCAGTATTGTTAAGTGTTGAGAACTAATTTGGCAACTTTTCTCTACAACCTGTTGAACTGCGAAGCCTCGGTTAATCTTATAAGATATTCTCTAGAGCTTTCCAGCTGCGGTAATATGTTACTGCTTTATTTTTTGGACTTTTTGAGGTAGATATTTGATAGAATAATGCGTGTTTCGAAAGCTTTTGAAAAAAAAAGGGGAAGTCTGTTATGAAGTGGATGTGCGTCGGACGTAAAATGTCTGCTCATCCGTTTTCGCTGCCCCTGAGGTTCGGTTAGGTTCGGACAGGCAGCAGCGTTTTTCAGAGCAGATAATGTTGATCGTAGGAATACATTATTAGGTCATCTGAGCACCTTTCGTGGTTCTTTAAACAACGAGGACTGTTGCAGTCTGGGAAAAAGAAGGGAAAATGGAGGGAAAATGTCGACCATGTATAGTGTACTGTACAGCGGTGACTGCAGAGCGAGGTGGAGGGTTGTGATTGGTGGAAAGCGGCACATTTGTTCATTTCTTTCATATCCCTGAATAGCAGCTAGTCACGTGAGTTGCACTGCTAGTGTTTGGCAGCAGGGCGGGAAGTACAGAGTAGAATTTCAACAGAAAGTGAGATTTAAAGATTTGGGGGCCATACAAAACGGTGGATGGATTTTGTGCGGTTTGCTCTTCTTTGAGTCAAGAGCTTCAAGTAAAAAGAGGCCACAGGCATTATCACCTCGTGGGGTGAGAGGTTAGGTTAAAGCTGCTGTTTGATTGAGCTGATAGGGTGAATGACACTGCATTATGGGACAGGGCCATTTTAAAAAGGTAATGCTATACTAACTTCTTAAAGATGCTGCTTACCTTTTACATTAAAGAACTCAGATTAATATATTTCAAGATATAACTTTTTAAAGGTTAATCATATTTATTCAATATAACCATTTCTTAATTTTTTTTTTACTTTACAGATATAAGGTTACATTAGTTGCCTTCAGGGAAATGACTCAGGGAATAAGGATTATTCTGACTTTTTTACAGATTTAACTTTTCTATTTCTTTTTAGATTTATATTGACATGTTAAGTCACCTTCCAGTATAGGGACAATTCTTAGGTAGCTTAAATTAAAACATGTTAACAAAAGACAAATTAAAAGTCCAAACCACTTTTCCTAATTTGAATATTTTTGTTCCTTATTTGAAATATTCAAAACAGAAAGGTGCAAGGACACTGAACAAAGGGGAGGAGCCACTGGCTTTTAAATGTAAATCACTAAGTATAGATTTGGAAACAGAAGCAAGTAGTCTGGCACATGGATGATAAGCAGAGTGATGGCCTAAATATTACCCTTTACAGGCCGCCCCTCCGTAGTATGAAGGCCCAATCGGGTGGCGCAGAGATAAGGTCAGCAGTTAAATAAGGTTTGGGGTTTCCCTGCCATTGTTTCCTCACAAAGACGGCAACTATTGATTAAGGGCCAGGCCAGTTTACCTATCAGGTTGTTGACTTCACAGTGGAGTCACATTCCAGCGCAGAGGGCAGAGTTACCTGATCACGCCTCACTTCCACAGGCAAAAAGTGTTGGCAGCCGTTAAACCTCCCACTGCACGAGCACCGTGTACAACATTGGGACATTTTTAAACCATGAGGAACAGAAGAAGAGGTTACATTTAGACAAGTTTGTTGGACGGTTAGATATTTAGTTAGGAACATGCTTCGATCAGGTATTGTTACTTCCTGGGCTAATCTTTTTTCACTCTTTCTTTCTCTCTCTGTCCCTCTTTTCTTCCTCAGAGGGCCTGCAGCACTGGTTTATAATGCTGATCATTAACTAAATAGAGTCTGGGAGAGCATGTCTGCTTGGCTTTCTCATTTCATGGGGGCCTGACTGACCAGGAGGAAGACGGAGCGTTCTCAGGCAGCGGGGTGGAAATTCAAGATCTTTTTTTTTTTTCTCTTTCTTTTTCAGGCCCCCCACCTCCCTCCAAAACGTGCTCACTTTCCTTTGGTTTTGTTACATTCTTTCCTTGGGGTACCTTTCATGACGGTAAGGTTACAGGTGCATTCTCCGTTTTCCTTCTCCAACTTCCAACTTCCCTCCCTTATACTCACTTTTCTTTCTCTCTCCCTCGCCCTCCCCCTCTCTCTCCCTCTCTCATGTGCTCTACTTTTGCATTGCTTGCAGGATGACTGGTAACCTGTTCTTTCTTAATGACCACAATAATGCCTTGTCTGTTGTAAAAGATTTGAAAAATAGAAGTATTTGTATTTGTAATCTTTGATGGAAAGAAAAGGGGGAACTCTATTGTTAACCGACCTGCCTTTGATGAAGTAAATGGTATTTTGACAAAATATAAAGTGCTCAAAGCTTAATTTAGAGAATATTATTGCGCTTCAAGATGGCAGTTCTGGGTGTGAGTATTTCACGCGGTGTACCTGTGAATGATCCACGTTATTCAGTTAGTGAGGGCTGTTGCAGTGACCTTCTGCACACACAGCGCCGGCTCAGGTCGAGCTGAGCAGCATTCCATCAGCCTTTCATCATTCAGCAAACACAAAGACAAGAGGTCGACCAACGGAAAACAGGAAAAAGAAAATGGGCTTTTCCATAAAACATCTGTTGAAACAGAATTGATAACATCGCTTTCTTATAGACAGAAGAGAATGTTGCAACACAATTACTCATCTGCGGGGTTACGATACAGAAATAACTCCCCGAGGCTGACGTGTTTTTTTACTCAGAGACATTTTTAAGTGAATGCAGTGTTTGAAATTAGTACCTGCCATGCATTGTGTGAAAAGCAGGCCTCCCAACCTTGCCGTGCCATAGATTTAGACTAGTCGGAACAGGTTTGGGCAATCATTAACAACCAGTGTGGCCCAGTCTTCTGTGACAGTGAGTTTAAGCTGAAAACCCCAACCACAACAAGGGCTCAGCGATTATACTATTGAGAGGTTATCTCCAAATATGGTCTTCCTAAGACCTATTTACAATGCTAATTTTGGGCTACAAAAGGAACCCTAACACTAACTTAACTAGCTATTTTAGGCTATATTTTATGTCAAATACTTATTTCATTAAAGGTAGAGTTCCCCTTTTTTCGATTGGACAAAAGCATGCGATTCGCTTCAGTAGACGTCATCATTCACTTATTAACCTGGCAGTGATAACTCATTCCTTTGTATGAGTGTAGATGTTTGGGTGATTATCTCCATCTTACGAGGCAGCATTGGATACTCATCACTCTCTCTAATACTGCCTGGTAATGATGATGATAGTCATCTGCAGACTTCAACCAGTCAAACCGCTGAAGCAGCGTCAGCAGCAATGTGCTCCAGGTCCGGGCCCTGGATGGGCTTCTATACTCAAGCAGCAGCAGCAGAAATGGCTCTCAGGATCCATCTTACCTTACAGTGCTGGATTGTACTTATGTGGTTCTAACACTGTCTGGTAACGATGTTTCCTGGGTGACTCTTTGGTCTCCGGCGAAAGTTGCTTATCGAATACCAAAAATGTACATGACTCATGTGTAGGACTCCTTAGCCATTGAAAGGTAAACTTGATAAGAAAGGTTGGCTGTGTTCTGCGCTGGCATGACTAAAAAGTATTTCCCTTGCTCTGAAGTCAAATCCAAAAGGAGGTTAGCTTTCTTTTGTTGTCTTGATGATGCCCATTGTTGACAGAAAGGGTGCTAAAGTACACTAACTTTTATATCTAGGTCTTTTATTCTGAAAAAACTGTTTGGTATTGTTCGAGAAGAGATTACAAAGAGATCTTTTATGCAGTAATGGTCCCAAAGGTCAGCTTTTCTTTTTTTTTCGCTTCTTACTTCCCTATCCGAAAAAAAACACTTTTATGGCAGCCTCACCCCACCCACGTTAAAGAATAGCAGTTGGTTGATGGTTCCACCGGTCCTGCAGGGCCCTGTTTCCTTGTTCCCTCCCCTGAACAGCGTAGGTCTTTGTGTTGTATGGCAGTGATTGGTCCGACTAGCATTACCTGCGTGGCACATCCTGAAACCGACACATGAACTCACCTGAGAGTACTTAACTGGTAAAAGCTACAGGTGGCCTCCTCCCAGCTTTTATCCACAAAAGACAATTAAATGAAACCTTAGTGTTTTAAGTAAAACAAAAACAGACAGTAGGTAGTGTTTAAAACTTAAAGTGATTCCTGGGAATCCTTTTGATTTAAAACTAATTAGAAAAATCTTCTCCAATTTCTTGACTACAATGTGAATTTAATGGGTAAAGCCCTCAAACAGACTTGAGAAAAAGGCAAATAATAGGCATGGAGCGAGCGGAGACCTAGTGTTTGTTTAAGGAGGGAGAATTACCCCGCAAATATTGAGCCGCACCTTTATTTGCCCACCTAGCTCCATTATCCAAGCCACAGAAACATTAAATAGGTTTTATTTCCTCTCCTCCAGTTGTCCCTTTATTCTATGTTGGCGTCACATATCAATGTACCATGCTTACTTTGCTTGGTGTGTTCACTCATGGCTTTATTCTTTCTCTGCATGGTCGAATGAATGAGCGTGAACAGAAGCTGTGGTTGCAACAAAAGAGGAACTGCTCATTTCAGTCTGTTTCTGCTAAACTGCTCTGTTCCCTCCGGCTCTCTTCTTCCTCTTTGCACAGGTGAAAGCTCAGAGGTCATCCTTCTAGCCTGTTGATAGGCGTCTTACCAGACATGGTTAGATGTAATTATTGGTGTCTAATACTGTCTGGTAATGCCGTCCATTAAATGGCATTACCTTCTGCTCTCTTACTTCCCCCTCTCTCTTGCGCTTCTGACATGCATTGTATTGACAAAGGGCAGTCAAGGGAGGCACATCAACATATTTATAGCCATGGCAGATGGGGCTGAATGATGATGACTATGGAACTATGATCCTTGCACTGGAAGATTGATTAATTTTACGGGGTTTCTTCCACGTGACATGAGTCAAAGTTTCTCCACTGAGCAGCGATCTGCGATTTCCTCACAATAGGCTTTCTCGATGAATGCTGCGCCGTGAATTAGTTTCTATCAGGAATGTTAATGTGAATGCCTTGTAAAAAAAAGAAAGTATTATAGAAAATGCTGTGACTTTTATCTTTTGAAAGATCTGCTTTCTTCCTCTTACCGCAATAACCAAATTCCTTCTGGGAACTTGGCTTTTCTCCAGGTACAGTAGAACAATGCCCACAGTTTTTTGGGACCTCATTATACATGACAAACTCTGTACATAATGTGTTTAATATGATGTGATTTTATGAAACGTAAAATATTCAATAAAATGGTGTGCAATATGAAATACTTCTCTTGTCCATTTTTGTTCTCTTTATAAACACATTTTCAGAATCGGTTTTGAAGAGAAATACATTTTGTTCCTGTTTCCCATGTGCTTTTTCTTCATAGCAGTTTCTCTAGTGATTGTGAACTCTTCCCTCGGACAGACCGGAATGCCGAGCCTCAGTCAGGTGTGGATCAGGTTACTGCTGAACAGAGCTTCTTTTTAAATGCCTCAATTTACCCATGAGGTCCCCCCATCAGCTAAGCCCTCATTGTGTCTCCGTCTATGGCAGCACACAGTAGGCTAACTTGATAAACCGAGAAGCACAAGGCGTGTTTTCTCTGCCAGGTCAATGGGCGACCAACAGTACAGTAGGCTGCTTTTGGCCACTGAAATCCATACGCTTCTTCTATATGGTCGTTGCATTAGCAGACTTTTATCTTTTTTTTAGCCAACAAAGACAATAGCATATAGCTATGGTGTTTAATTAGGCCTGTTAGCTCAGTGCTTCAGTTGACTGGTTAAACGCAGCTCTGATTTTATCAGTTGGAACACAAACAGAAAAACCATTTAGCCATTTTAGCATAACGGGCCCCAGGCCTCATTGATCTCCCATGCAGGGGTAGTTCACATGCTGTTCCACAAAGAAAGAGTTTGTCAGAGGCAGAAATGTTATATCCCAGTTTTTTTCTTTTGCATGTTATTTGCCCTTTATAGGGAATATGTTCAGTAAAACCTGTTCTTTAGACTTATCAAAGTTAGCATTCTTTCATGCTAGCAAGCTATCAATAAGTCAACAAAACAAATGTACACATTTTAAACTATGTTAAGAAAATGTGTGTTTGAAAAACGTTTAATTGGAACTGACATCATGATTTCTCATGTTTAATGAATGATTAAAAGGGTTTCCTGTAACAGCTTATCCAAATAAAGAAATCCTAAGAGGAAGACAAATGCCAACTTAATCATTAATTTGAAGCTTTCAAACAAGAGCCCCCTTTTACAGGACTGTGATCTATAGACAAAAAATGGAATCTATCTAAGAACATTTGGTCAAGTATGTTTGTGTTGGCTTTCATAATGCACTATTTAATGTATATGGTTGTTTTAATGACATCATACCAAGTTTGTCATTTTTTACATATTGCCCTTGGGTCAGTATATTGCTGGTGTTCAAAAGTGTTCAGCCTCCCAACGAATAAAAAAAGATTAAAAAAAGCTTTACAACATATATAGTTTGACACTTTGAAAACACATTTGATTATTTCTTTTTAGCTGAATGTAGTTTTAGAGTCTTGTTATTTAAAAATGTGGCTCACTGTCACAGCGGCATGTCTCCCTGGGACACCTGAATAAAAACATTGTTAGTGTCATTAGCAACACCTGTGCATTTCCTTCAATGACCAGTTGAAACGTCAGCTTTGAAAAGGCCTATAACTAAACCTTGGACTATCATTTACCCCCTTTTTTGTCGGGCAAGAAAGCTGTGCAGACCTGTTTTCAGTTTGACAGTTTCTCTCTTTGACCCGTATCAGCAACAGATATGTGTTATTGTCAACAAACAAAAGGTGAACAGCCATCTTGAATGTTTGCAACAACAGCATGTGGGAGGGACTAGAGTTCATAATTTTGTACCAAAAGAGATGTGAATTGCTGCCATAAAAATATTCATAGGTGAGTAAAAAACACACTTAATCACAATAAAATAATCTGAATGTGTCTAAAATACATGAATTCATATAATCTATGATTTAAAAAAAGCTTTTAAGAAATCCACATTGTTTAGTAGCGCTACTGCCAACACAGACTAGTCGTTTTAGTTGACTGGAGTATTTAACTAGCATTAGATAAGGCATAGTGCAGCCATTGCGGTTAAGATCCAATGTAACTGTCGCTTAATAAAACAAAAAACGGACCTAACATATGTCCTGAAATTGTCGTATTTCATAAATATTGTCACCAAATAGTAAGTTCTCCAGCCCCTGTCTGTCTTGGCTGGTTCTCAGGGTTACTTTTAGATGCATGTGGTTTCTTGCAGCAAAGAAACAAACGTTTATACATGACAGTAATATAGAAACACTCTACTGTACAGTTAGAAGAGGCATGAGCTTTGGTGACGTCACTTCTAAATCACTTACCTGACTGGTAGAGAGCCTAGAGGATTCCTGCGCTGGTCTGTGCATGCTTGTTGCAGTCAGACCAGATTCCTTTACTGCAGCCGGCTCTGGGTGACGAGGCTAGCTTCACCTAGCTGTGCTTGCTACTGTCGAGGAACAGGAGCACAACAGAGGCAAACAACTGTGACTTACCTGCAAGTGTGCTGATGCACTGTACAGTACATCTGAGTAGTTGTCACATTAATGCAGGGCACAGTCTGTAGAGTGGAACTGATTATAAGTTAGGGCAAAGTATCGCCACATTTAAGTTTTATTTAACTGCATTTTCTTCATTGGCACTATTTATGACCAGATGGTGGCCACAGTGCAGACCCCAGGGACAAACTTGAGTTCTGAGGCCAATGCCTTTGTCAAGGACAAAGGTAGGAGAATTTTGAAGCACTGCTGTATTGTTTGCCCTGCGTTAGATGTACAGTAAATGCTCTTTACACACTAATAGCACCATTTTATGTATTGCATATAAATGAGAAACACCAATACTTCCAAAACACTTGATCACTTTAATGCTTAGATTCACATAAGAGCCTCAATCTCAACCAAAATGTTCCTACACACTCAACCCACTTGCCCTATTCTTATAAAAAGTTATGTGGCATTATGTAAGAGGAACATTTCTATTTAAAATTGAAATTAGAGGTCCAGTGTAGGATTGTACATTGCCATCAACTGAATGGGACTCTTTCCTCCCTTTCCAAGCGTGTAGAGAACCTATAGTGGTCTTCAGGTAATGTCAAAGAGCCAGAGTTGATCTGGGCTATATACTGTAGAAACATGCCATTGCAATATAGTGGACTTGTAAAAGATGGACCTATGTAGATATGAAATAATTACTCTAAAATAACAAAAACAGGATTCTTAGTTTAAGGAGATTATTTCATAATAAAAACCAAGTTATAGTATTTTCCATTTCTAGTAATAGTTATTTTGTCATTCCTACACACTGGACAAGAAATAAGCAGGCTAGTTTATAAGTTGTCAATGCAAAACCTATGTGGTTCATTTGTGTTGTTTATGTTCTCACAGAAGAAAGAGAGATATTATGACCTTACTACACCCTGTACACACCTGCGTGGAGTTGGAAAGCCAGGCTATACTAGAGGGTGTTACCAGCATACTAGATGACGTTATATGAGAAGTTTGGCATCAGGTACATGTTTCTCTGCATTTGGAGGGACCACAGAGGCTCAGCTGGGTGGGACACAGCATTTCCCACCTTCATCACCTTTAAATGATGGTGTAAAATAACAAATCTGCATGGAGAACATGAATTATTTTTTTAGAGCTATATAAGTGATACATTTACATTATTTATATCTGATAAACTGCATCTTTTAAAATCAATAACACACATATTTTCCTCTAACCTGCGCTATTTATTGATCTAGAGACCTTATTATAGAGTTATAGTCATAATGTATGCCTAACTAACAGACATAATGCAACATTTATTGAATTTATTTTATTCACATATTTAGCTCAAAACTACTATCTTAGTACAAAAATCTGCATTACATTTTTCCATATTAAATGGTCCTAGTGAAATGTGATGTCTTTGTGTCTCAATCTTGCAGTTGTCACCAGTGGGAATGAATGAATACAGACCCTGGGAACAAAAGGTTTCCTCCCCCCTCTTCCACCGCCCCCTCTGCTTTCCCGGTGTAATTCTGTAAGGAAATCATGAAAAGCGGGAGACAGAGAGACCCTTTTGAGACGCGCCTTTCTTTACATCGAAACTTAACTCCATTCTCTGCACTATAACACCTTTACAAGGAGATTCCCTCCAAATAATGGGTTGTGTAGGGACACCATTGCTGCAGGCTGCATCCCTGTAATTGCTGAGCACTTCCTGGTGCAGGAGTCAGTTGAGATGACATGGGAATGGGCAAGTCGCCAAAGACAAACGCTTTATGTAACCGCCCTGAGACAGAGCACACCTACTTCTGGTCTAATGATATATATTCATTTCATTAGTTTCATTTTTTATAAAACAGTTCATATTTTATAAAACACATTACTGTTTGTGAAAATGCTCAAAAACTGTCTTGTCATTGTCTCTGGCAATGTGGTCTATTTTATGTTTGTGGTTTGGTTGGCCTGGCCTGTCAGCATGATGAGTAGTATGGGAAGAGTACCAACAGCAGAAACTCAAATAAAGTAAAGTTACCCATCCCAAGCATCCCAATGTGGCCCAACCTGTCTAAAAGACAATCCAAGATCAAATTAAAATAGTTATTAGTTAACATTTAGATCCTGAAAATGTTATTCACACACTACACACACATGTATGCAGCCTCTTGGCAGATGGTGAACCATGAGGTTGCCAGGGCTGTAAAACAAGCCTGTTCTCTTTGTCCACCTACGCAGCACTGTGCACAGTGTGTCTATCAGATGGCGGCTCTTTATCAAGGTGTGGCTGACACTGGCTCCACACAAAGCTCTGTTAAACAGGAACATTGGAGGCCCGCTTCTAATAACTGGGGTGATGCGGCTGGGCTCGCATCACTGCCAAGCAGCTCTCTGTAATGGCTGCCATTTAAAAAAAAACTAAACTGACATGACTTTCTGTAATGTCTTGTAAATGTAGTCATGCGTGAAATGTGTTTCAACACATTATTCTGGTATGTGTGACAACTACTTTGTACTCAGTTGTTGTTGTTTTTAGTTTGTTAAAGTTAGAATGCGTCATTTATCGACTTGTTCAGCTGCCAACAACTGTTTTATATATCCATGAACCATTTTACCGTATCACATAAAGCGTGATTCAGTTCAGATCTCGACTGTTTTAACTCTGAAAAGTTTGACTAACCTGCTCTAAATAAGATCTAGGCATGAATTGCTGCTTAAACTACAGGTGTTATGTGTATGCGTCACCCTTGGTTTCCCTGCTGTATGTGTGATTATATGGTTGCATGGATGCTGGGTCTAAGAGGCACCCGCCCCTGTCAATTATCAGATTTTTGAGAGGAAGAGAGGAGATTATGCATAATTCCCAACCGTGGTTTGGTCTGGGTGTTTCCTCTAGAATCACTGAGACAGAACGTGGATTTGCCAATGGAGACATACTATGTTGCTCAACTGCATACCTGTCACTGGATTTGGCTCTAGACTACATGATTTATGTTAATGTCTGCCACATACAAATAATGATTTAAACAATGATTTTGCTGGATGTGGTTAAGTTAACTTACAATAAAGTATTTTATTTTATAATAGGATCCCCATTAGCTGTGTCTTTCTGACTTACACCAGTGCCTTTTTCAACATAATACAAATCTCCATCTTATGTTCCAAGATGTTCCGTTATTTAATTAAGAGATTGATTCCTATGTTAAGATAAGATAAGATAAGATAAGATATAAGAATATAGTCAGAAACAATGGTAAATAATTCCATATGTTGCGCTCTTTGATACTGTGTGTTCTTAGCGAATAAGTGTTTGCCTTGGGGCGTCAAAGCCTTGTCTGTCTGACGTCATTGTGTTGATGACGCTAAATTGTGTTTTAATCGACTGAAATTATGGCATTTGGGCTTGTAAAACGTTCCATGTTGAAAGAAATACGCAGTATTCATCCCATCTTCAACTTTTGAGCTTGACATTTTGCACTTATTATATATTAAATTAGCGTTTCCCCTACTACATTACTAAATCTGTAGGACAGAATGTTGCTTGTTTCTATGAGAAGAATAACTGCTTATACTGTTATCACAACACACAACTATCTAAATTAAAAGCTACATTTGTCTGCCCTAGAAATGTATGTCACTTTGCAAAACACATGTCCCTGAGCCTTTAGAAAATATTATTTTACCTTTAGTGTCAGGATATAATACCCTGGAAATCCATTTTGATTGACAGTCTGTTCTCATGTTACCTTAGGATTCAAAAAACAAAGGCTAACAGGCAGTTAATATTGAATGAAGCTTAACTAAGAGGTGGGGTAGGTGTGGGATACATAATCTTGAGAAGTTTGTCTTGAGCTGCTGTTGTTGGATCTACAAGTGGCAACTGTTGCTAAGGGTCCCATTACCAGAGTAACCGGTGATTGTTTACTTTGGTCTAGCCAGAATTCCCTACTTGCAGTGTGGCAGACTGCGACTCATTTCTGTGGGCTAAACTGCTGACAGACTATGTGATTTCACCTCTGTCGTGTCTGTGCTTCAGTCTGTGGGTTTCTGTTTGTCTCGGCCTTGCCTTTGGAGTACAAGCTTGAGCGCACATGGCAGCAGAGGAACAGGCTGAGTGGGTTTTCATGGAGTCTGGCTGTCCCTGTGTGTGAGACACTGGAGCTACAGGTAAAACCCCCTCTAATTCTAAATGTTATATGTCATGGTTCAGCTCCTGTCCTCTAACACAAAATACCACATTTAATTAAATACTTGTTCTATTTCTTCACACTCGTTTGTTTGTATTTTTCACGTTTCAGGCTTGCCAAATATGATAATACATTTGAACTATAAGGCCTAAAGTCTAAACCTGCTTACAGGTGTGAGCAACCCCATGGAGATTAAATGTTAATTAAACCAAAGAAAATGTATACATTTTTGTGGTGAGCCCTTAAATGTACAGTTTGTTGTGATGGAAAGGTATAACAAGACGGTGCACATTTCTTAGCAATGTGCCTCTTAGATTGTGAGATTTTTTAATTTTTAATTTTTGTCTGATATTCAAATATCAAAGGGCTAAAGTAGCATTTGAACTCGTGGTGGAGGACATACATTCAATGGGTCAACAAAATCATTAGGAATAATCCTCTGAATACCATAAATACCATACACATCACATCATCATATCTGCTTCATATGGCAGTCTGGCCAGTAGCCAAAATATGTTTCTTATGAGCCAAACAGTTGTATGGGCTGACAGATTTACTGCTATGCTATGCTATGCTATGCTATGCTATGCTATGCTATGCTATGTTATACTTGTTTATTATATGTAATGAATAAAAGCTGCTCACAATTCATAATAATTAAGTGTCTATAGAAAAGCTATTCAGTCTGAACCAAAATGGTGGACAGACCAACCAACAGACAAATATCACCATCCAAAGGGAAACGATATAAGCATGAAAATAATATCATGTGACCGTACCAGACATGTACAGCACTTGCTGTTGATGAAGTAAACATTATCTATTCATCTTGATCCTTACACTAAATCGTTAGTGTATTGAACAAAACCTATAATAACAAACATCTCATTTGGGGTCTCATACAGTATCACTTCACCCCAAAGAAAGGGTCTCTAATGTTGCAAAATGTTCAGCCATCACCAGAAATCTGCACGAGCAGAGGTCATGTCTGAGTGCTGGGTGAAGTCCTGCAGTGAAGGCCCGGCAGAGGGGAGAGAACGGCAGAAGCCGCAAGGGGAAAACGGAGAGAAGGAGGAAGTGAAGGCTCCCTGTGGGGACAACATGCCTGCAGGAAGCCTGAGGCAGGAGGAGCCAAGGGGAGAACCGGCCTCGTCACCTGACCATAGGGACATGCAGGAAGTAGCATCAGGAAGTGGACTGGAACATGTCCAAAGGGAGGAGACGCAGACTCAAGAAAAGAGAAAGAAGTTTTCCCACATGACTTTCAACAAGGAAAATCCATATAGTGGGCCAGGTGTGTGGTGGGAAAGTGCGGCTCCACTGAGGGATGTCCTTTGCTATTCTTTCCATAGTTTAATTCAGCATGAAGAATATAGTTCATCAACACATTTACCAGTTTTAAAAAAGCCTGTGTGTTTGTGTTAGACTGTGTCCATGCCTGATTTCTTTGTGTTTGTGTGTGCAAAAGCATCAGGTGTGGACCTGGTGCGGCACCGCCGGAGGTCCCTCCCCAGGGAGATGTCGACCTGCTCCTACCCAGACAGGGACAGGCAGCGGCAGGTAGAGGAGCCCCGGGGGCCTGGGCCCTTCTACTTCGTCGGAGGAGCCAACGGAGCTGAAATGTAAGTAGAGGAATATGAAATAAAGGGGTACCAAGAAGAATCTATGGGTGGATTTGCTTTAAACATATTTCACTGGCCTCTTATTAGTCTAACCCTAGATTTACATATGACCCCTGACCTCTGTACTATTGTGTGATTGATGTGCTTTGGGACTTCTCTTTTAGAGTGAGCCGTTACTGTGAGAGCAGAGGATGGAAGAGGATTTACAACAAGCAGAGGGAGGATTTCAAACTCAAGTGGTGTGAGACTAAATCACAAGCCAACTACAGTAACTTCAGAGAAGGTGCCCAACTATATATATCTCAGAACATTTTCTGAATGCTGTATTTTACTAGAGACTATAAGATTTCCTAAAATAAATCCTACGAAAATGCCATAAAATAGGAAAGGAAAAATGCTAAATCTGTCTTTTTGTTGTTTCATCTTTCTCAATTCTATGGAAGCACCTAGAAGCAAATGAAAAAAAACAGTTTTATCCTTTTTTTAAATGTAGGATTAATTTGTTTTCCCCTTTTGTTCACGATTCAGGAACTGGACACATATTATTTTATCTGTGTAACGAATGAAAAAAGTAAGCCAAGCTAAGTAAGAAAAAAGGATTTTGCAAAGAAATGTTTTTCCGATCTAATCCAATTTAATTTAAATGTGTTGTTGTAACACTAATTTCTGCCACTCAAGCCTGCAGTGCACCACTACCCCATGTTTTAAATAAAAACATTTTAGATATTATAATAGTAAGAAAATGAATTATTGGTGCGTGCCCAGTTAAGTTCTTTGTCCTGTTTAGTGGTGCTCTTACAGCTAAAATGTGTATTACAACCACACACACTATTATACTGAAATAATGTACCTTTGAAACTGTTCCACTATTCCAAAATAATAAAAACAGCAGAGAAAGCACTTTAGATCACACCTAGAAAATGAATCACCATATATGTTCCCCTTTTTTTTCAGGTCAGGGCTTCCGTACATTTGCTTTAAGTAAAAAATACATGCATTGTTGTCCATTCACAGAAATACAAACATGAATTCCTCATGTGTGGTTCCCAGGTGAACAGTTGGTGTACCAGATCCCCAACAACAAGGTGCTCACCACTAAGATCGGCCTCCTCAGCAGCCTGCGGGAGTACGAGCGGGTCAGCAGCAAAGTCAAACACGGAGCAGGACTCAGGTTGTGTGTTTATAAAAGCAGACATATATAACAGCATTTATGGTTGTGTCACAAATCTCTTAGCAACAATCTGGTGCCATCAGAGAGGTTCAATAGAGGCCCGGCTCGGCAAATACTGATTGAAAGACATATCAGCCTCAGACAATATTTATTAAAACACCAGAAACCAGGCCTCTGAATCACACAAGCTTGGTATTTAGCATTGTTTTTGTCAGTTATATAAACTATTTCAGTGGTTAATTATTGATAGTATCGAAAACTGTTAAAACGTTTTGCAACCTTTTTTAATAGAAATAAGCATTTCTTATAATATCTCCTAGCATTGTTGGAAGATGTACTCGGATCCTTTACTAAAAAAAAAGCACAAATACTATGGTCTTAAAATACTCCACTGCAAGTAAAAGTCCTGATTTTAAAATTACGAAAGTAATTGTATCAAAATGAACTTAAAGTACAAAAAGTTAAAGTATTCATTCTGCACAATGACCCATTTCAGAATAATAATAGAAAGAAGGATTACCAGCTAAATGTACTTCAAGTATGTGGGTGAACATAATACTATTAAAGAGTAAAATACGCTTAGTTACTTGCCACCACAGTTTATTTGATCTAAATAAATTAAAAGTCCTGTACTTGGACAAAACATGCAACTTCACTTTGCTTTCACATGAACTGACAGCAAAGAAATAGAAGTATATGATTAATAACAGTGGAACTGTTTTGTTGATTCAAAACTAAAGCTGTATTTGTGTTAGATATGCGACACATATAAAAGATCATGCTGGTAACAAATCGTTTTTTTAATCAAATTCGAAACATTTTGACAAACTTTGCATTACTTCAAGAAGTAGTGTTTTCAATTTCTTCCGTCATCACAGGCAGCTTCCATTTTTGTGGGAAAAAAAAAAGATTACTGTAAACTTGCAATGAACATCATGTCGGGATTTTAAAGTCAATCTGCATCAACAGTACAGATGTCACACGTGTACAGATTTATGTTTACTGACAGAGTGAAATGTGTGCTTATCTTAAGTAACTTTCTCAGGCAGTTTTCATTTTCATCATATGACACAATCAGTTTCGAACAGCTCAAGACACACATCCGTTCATTGATCTTCTTCTTCTTCTTCTTGTGTCGTACTTCACAGGAGGCTAAAAATGGAAGAGTTTATTCCCACTACCTTCCGCATGGATGTGAGGGAGGAGAGGGAGGCTTTCTTTGCCCAGCAGGAGGGTAAAAGACATCTACACTGACCTCTAGTACAGCTCTACACCCGGATGCAGCGACAACACAACACCGGTTCCACTGGATTTGTGTTTATTCAGCTTACAAATATGATCAATCAAACTGTGCCCGTCATGCATCCCATAACAAAAAGAAAGACAATAGTTTGTGCTTGGCAGTGTTAAGACAACAGTTGCCTTGGTGATTGTTTAATCAAGAGGTCGGGGATGTCGGAAAATAATGCACTTCACCTCCCATAAGGCCCTGATTAAATCACCAGGGGAACATGCTGTTGCCATAGAGATGAGTCAGCAGAGGGCAGGGCTGAGACAAACAGGAACAAACGCTCGACAGGAGGACGATGTAAAGCTGCTGAGATCAAAAAGATGCATTTAGTATTACAACTGTAAAACATTTCCCCTTCATTTCTAGTTCTGGATATGAAACCATCTGATGGTTCCTCTATTGTCTGCAGTAACACAGACACACAGCATTATGATAAGAGGTGTGCAGGTTATGACAAACATGGTTATCACTGAGTAAACAGGAGAAAGACACAGACAGCTGGTTTAGATCTCTGGGTGACGGATGAATCTGTGGAAATGAAGACAAGAGCAGTTATATGACAATAAAAAAACGCTATGAAAGGAAACTCCATGATAGAAAAGTGTTGCACATGGTACTGTATGTAGAAGTCCTCATTATACAGTAGAATAGCCCCTGACATAGATTATGTTTGATTAGCGTTATCACTGACACATCCACATGGTGAGGTTCAACTAATTTCATTTGACTCATTAATATGCTGTGGAATAGTTTGATTGATAACAATACAGCATAATTATCTTATAGGCTAATCACATGATTTGAATGTCCATAGTCAAAGTAACATAAAGACCAGTGAAGGCATAAAAAACCGTAATGTAATATCTGATAACTGGACAAGGTGATTCACCTTTTACGCTTTTAATTATGTCATTATGTTATCGCATTGCATTTTATAATAAACATCTTGAACGCAATTATTTTATAAATGTTCATTCATTATGTAATACATTTTCATTTATTTTGTCGTACATTTTAACATATTGCAGTAGTTATTACTAAATGTGGGAGTTAGAATAAAAAAAAGGAAAATATAATAATACATGCAGTATGTAATATCAACTCAAATGGGTTGTCTTCATCTGCACACAGGTTTAAGAATACAGCGACGCTTGAGTTTGTGCCAAGTTTTAGGTTTGTGGCAATACAAAACAATATACTTATCTACCAAAGTAATTGTATCTTTTAAAATGTATTTGCGTCAATGTTATTGAAGGCATAAAATATTTGTTTTGCTATAGCTATTTTCTTTTATCATTAAAGACACCCAGTTTGCTATTTCATGAATATTAAGTTTCATGAAAGAAAGGGATAATATATGCCTTTTTGCAAAAACAACTGCAGTATGTTTTCATTTATTACAAAATGTGGGACATTTATTTAGATTGCGGCTGTTTATAATATAATGCAGCAGATCATTACAAAATACAGTCTCATAATGTGTTGGAAAAGAGCTCAGTTTTTCATACAGTTTATGTCATGTGTTTTTTCGACCTACATGATGTGATTTTCTGACTGCTACCAGGTGTGAGCAACAACGAGGGTCCCATGTGGATCTGTAAGCCCTCAGGCCTGAACCAGGGGAAAGGCATCTTCCTGCTGAAGAGCCAGGAGGACGTGGCGTCCTTCAGACTGAAGCTGCAGCACACGGAGGACAGCCAGGCCGACAGGAAGCTGCTCCAGCGCCCGCCTCAGGCTCGCATTGTCCAACAGTGGGTGGACATACTGCCGCTAAAATAAATATGATGACACAGTCAATGTCTCCAATAAGACATAACATCTCTTCTAATTGACAAAACTAATTTCCCTTTCATATAGAATCACTGATGGTGCTGTTTCTTTAAGCTCAGCTGTATTTTGCCCTCAGTTACATCCAGAGGCCGCTGCTCCTGAAAGGGAAAAAGTTTGATGTGCGCTCTTACCTTCTGATCGCCTGCACCGCACCCTACATGGTCTTCTTTCGTCATGGATACGTGCGACTGACCTGTGACCTTTACGACCCGAGTTCCAACAACCTCTCTGCCCACCTGACCAATCAGGTACACCTCAATACTGAGACAAAGTGCCAAAAATATCCAGGGTTAACTGGCAGGTCAAAGGTTAAAGTGTGCCTTCAAACAGTCATGTACCCATAGTATAGGGTTTGCTTGATGTAATCACATCCCCTGTTTATACTTGTCTTGAAAATGTCACTTTTCAATGCTCTATGTGACTTCCATATAGACTTCAACATGTATCTGATTCAGCAGTCTGATTTAGGACCCTGCTTTTCAGAACATGGTCAAAAATGATTTTTCTCGCACACTGATGGTCCAATCTCATTATATTTGAAGCAGATAACTGTTAACATAAAGTTGCCTCAAGTTGTAATGATTATATACCACTATGCCAACATTGGATAAAGACAATAACTGGGCTTAAATAACTTATTTTTAGCACCCATGTGCTGTTAAAGCTTTTTAAGGACTAATGTTGCCTTAAAACATTTACATTAAAAGGACATAACCGTTTAAGATAACACTTGAGAGACATTTGCATCCAGTCTTTGCTGTTCATGCCACACATACTTTTAAGGAGGTTGGGTAGCATTAGCATTAGCTGTGGCTAACTGCTGCTTGGTGTGTCTCTGGTCCCCCTGCTGTCTGTCTCCAGTACATGCAGAAGAAGAACCCTTTGTACAGCCAGCTGAAGGAGGACACTGTTTGGACCATGGAGCGCTTCAACACCTACGTCAATGGCAGGTTTCGGGTTGCCAAGGGTCTGCCCAGGGACTGGGTGATGGGCGCCTTTGCAGTGAGTGAGTGAGTGAGTGTGTGTGTGTGTGTGTGTGTGTGTGTGTGTGTGTGTGTGTGTGTGTGTGTGTGTGTGTGTGTGTGTGTGTGTGTGTGTGTGTGTGTGTGTGTGTGTGTGTGTGTGTGTGTGTGTGTGTGTGTGTGTGTGTGTGTGTGTGTTGTAGCTCTAAGGGACCAATTACTATTTTAATGGTGGTTGTTGGTGCTTGCAACTAATTGGGATTGCATATGTGCTTGCATGATCTCACTCCTGTCCGAGGATACATCATGTATACAATGAAACTCAATTTTTGTCCACAGTACAACAAATTGTACAATATGTATCCCCAAACTGCACCCACAAGTGAAATAGTATATAGGCTACATACACATAGTTTATATGTATATATATATATATACTGTGACTTTTTTTTTGGCATACTGTACACTATGTACTGTGATGTATTTTTGACTTAGAAAGCAATGGCATTTTTTATATATTTAATGATATTTTAGACATAGACCTAACATGACTATACCCTTTTTTCATATTTTAGAAATACTATTCCTAATATTTTTTTCGGAACATTTCTATATACTATAATACGTTGTTTCTTTTGCACATTTTACACAAACTGCTATTTACTTTGGGAATATTTTCTACATAAGTCGTTTTTTTTGCATATTTTCTACATACTATACTATGTTCGTTTTTGTTATGATATATGCAATAGCACATCATAAATGTTTGATAAGTGCTGGAAGAAGGGCTACAGGTATGTCACTTTGAAGTGTAATATGACCGACTGTTTTCCCTTCAATGCATCAGGAGCGCATGCAGCAGATCATGACGCAGTGTTTCCTAGCAGTCAAATCCAAACTAGACTGCAGACTGGGCTTCTTTGACTTAATTGGATGCGACTTTATGGTTGATGAGGACTTCAAGGTGGGTGAGACTTTGCTGAATATCTGAAAAGTGTTAATCTGCATGTTTTTGGACATGTTGTGTCTCTGTATGATTATGATAGGTGTGGTTGTTGGAGATGAACTGTAACCCAGCTCTCCACACCAACTGTGAAGTGCTGAAGGAGGTGATACCGAGCACCGTGGAGGAGACACTGGGTGAGCCCACATGATTACCAAAAAACTAAATTGAACACTACACCCAAATGTCAAAAACCTCTCATCATTTCACTGCATGTACGGAAAGTCTTAGTTCCCTTTATCACAAATGTAACTCTACTCATGTGAGACACCACCCAACATTTTGATTGACCTGCTGTCACTTCTTCATGCTCTAGATTTAACTCTGGAGATCTTCAACAAGTGTCGCCTCAAGCAGAGAATTCTTCCTCTGGCCAGTCAGAGGGACTTTGTGCTGCTATGCAACAAAGTGGCTCCTCCTGATTCGCTGCTGGGCTGCAGCAAGAGCAGCACACATACTGAAGTCCTCCAGAAAAGCTCCACAAAGACTGAAGACAAAACTGTCCCCTCTCCATCCCCTGATGATGTCTCTGGCAGTGTTCAAGGACAGGGGGGGACAAAGTCTGGCCAGCGCTCCTCCACCTCGGTTCAGGGACCTCCACATTTACACAGCAGGCAGACTGTTAAGTATAAGAACCCCAGGCCTCGGGTCGAACTAAAGCCGAGTAAATGTACTTTGCAACATTCAAAAGCTTTGGATGACGGGGAGCATCAGCAGAAGAAGAGGATCATCATGACGCTGTCGTCACCAGGAACCTCCGTCCGTGGATCACCATTCCCTCCTAATGCTGGATCTCCTGTGAGTGGGAACAAACAGGAACAAAAGCCCAGAGAGGATATTTAAGTTTATGCGAGTAAAGAGGAACTGTGATGCATCATACGCAAACAGCCGGGGTCTAAAAGGCCACATCTAAAAAAAGGCTTGAAGAAAGGAGGATCCACACTTCTGGTGCTGTTTGTCTGTGAGAAATAAACGCTTAAATGTGACAACAAATTATTTATTAATGCTAAGTGGGTTCATGTTATTGTTGCTTTGTGTATTATGTCATGATAAATATGGAGGACGGAACATGACTTAAGTATAAATAAATAAATAAATAAATGTGTAAATAAATGTATGAAGAAATACAGGAATAAATAAATACAGGAATAAATAAATGACGAAATAAATACAGAAATAAATAAATGTTGAAATAAATACACAAATAAATAAATAAAAGAATAAATAAATAAATAAATATGGAAATAAATACACCAATGTATAAATAAATAAAACAGAACACACGTTATTATATATCTTTCATATATTTCTACATTTACTCAACATACATTTATTTATTTATTTATGTGTCCGTATGCTAATGAGGTGGGCGGTCCTAACCTCAGTCTGAAGCAGGATTGGTTACAGGAGTGTGTGATCATTTCTGGCAGAGGGCTATACTAGCGCCTGGCTAACCGCGCTGATTCGAATGCAGGAGCTTTACTGTTTAGCCCTTATCTTTATACATCCATGGTTTATCCACAGTTGTAAGGATTATTTATGGGTTATAAAGAAGCCATTATTAGCGAGTTGCCGTGGGTGTACACTGTACACAGAATGAACAGATGTGACTTGCCACGAATCTCTTGCTTCTGCCTGGCTCCAGCAACAATTGGCGAATCCTGCTTCAGACTGAGGTTAGGACCGCCCACCTCATTAGCATACGGACACATAAATAAATAAATGTATGTCGCGTAAATGTAGAAATATATGAAAGATATATAATAACGTGTGTTCTGTTTTATTTTCGACTTTTATTTATTTATTTATACATTGCATGCATTTATTTATTATTTTATTTATTTATTTGTGTATTTATTTCAACATTTATTTATTTCTGTATTTATTTCGTCATTTATTTATTCTTGTATTTATTTATTCCTGTATTTATTTATTTATTTATGTATTTATTTATTTATTCCTGTATTTCTTCATACATTTATTTACACATTTATTTATTTATACTTATATATACAGGTTTGTCTTCTAATTACGGTAGAAGAAAAAGGTGTTTTTTTGCTGCTGCAACGCAAACATTTCCCAAATTGGGATCAATAAAGCACTTTGTATCTTCTTATCTTATTGTTTACGCTAATCAAAGCACAACATATATCCAGCGGTTGTGTTACGTCACAGAAACAGCTCCTGTGGAAGACACTCAGACATGATTGTGTACAAACCCTCCCACATACTGTAACTCTAACCAGTGAGATCAACACGGGACGTTTTTGTTTTGACTGCAGCGCTTCACCTCTCTGTTTCATAACTCATAATTATCTTTAGCACTCCTATTCATATTCAGGCTCCCTGCATGTAAACACAGGCAGGACCGGTCCCATCTTTCCCAACAGGCTTGCTACATCCACATGCTGAGGCTGGGAGCTTTAGATGACAATACAACTAGTTTGTGTTTGTAATGCTGAAGTGTCAGCAGGTTGAAAAAAAGGGAGGAAGCTGCTCAGTCCTCAGACAGACAGGAAGGAAGGAACAGCTACTACGCTGCAACGCAACAACAAACACTTGAATTCCTCTTCAAAAGCTTAGACACCTTTTGGTTCTCTATGGAAACATAAACTAAATGCTGGCAAAAAGGGGGAACTAGAGCTTAGCAGCACCATCCCCCCCCCCTCATCACCAGCACTCAATATCCTCTTTTGGAGTTTTGCTGTTATCTCTTTTGGTTTGAGCGTGGCACTCTCACAGCGGGGCAGATGGTGCTCAGTGTTCGGACTAGAAGCTGAGACAGGCCGTTATGGGATGCTGCAGTGTGACCCAGAGGAACACTGGGGTGGACGAGGTGGGCCCGGATGAGATCGAGCTCCTGGAACTCTCTGGGGACAACCTGGGGTAAGACACAAGTACAAGTTTATATTATAACGCTAAAACAGAGAAGATGGTGAATTTACACATATGACAGAACTTGGATCCTAGAACAAACTGCAATCATGGTTTACAGATTTATAGAAAGTACTTTTTAGGTTAGTTTAAATGTGGTTTTGTGTATCAAAGAGGAGAAAGCGGTGTCATTCTGTGAACATGAAAGCACTTCAGCTGCTTCTGTGTCAGTGGTTTTCTTTGGTATGTCATGCATCACATTTTGGAGCTGAACACAAGAAGAGGTAACCCTCCTTTTTAAAGCTGCAGTGTTTACAGGGTGCACACTACAGGCTACATGTTTAAAACATAATATAGTGAAGAAAATGTTCATTTATAAAGCTTTAGCTAGAATGAACACACGCACAGTACAACACGTTACGTCCATATGATTTGCCCTCATCAGAACCCTGAAAACAGCCAGGCAGGAAAACTGATTGGCTCTTATTTACTAACCATGAGCTAAAGCTTGGCGATGCTGCACTGATGTGATTAGCAGATTACTGTAAGACAATGGCTGGAGCATGGGGGGTTTATTTCAGGCAGAGCGGGACAATCCCAGCTCATTCTGAGGCGGGGGTATTAGCAGAGGTTAATCACAACAGTAGCTACTAGTCCTTATGTGTGGCTGTTTAATTATTACTACTGATGGTCACAGCCCACTCCTGCTTTTATTCAACAACACACACAAAGTGTTTGTTACAGAAATACAGTGGGGGCAGAACGTACCAAGAGAACTGATTCAAGTCATATAAAAGTGCATAAATACTCAAATAAAAGTCCTGTATTTACACTTTTGTCCAAAAGTACTAGTATCAAAATATACTTACAGTACCAAAGTGAAACTACACATTATGCAGAATGTCAGAATAATTAATATCACATGAATAATTGTAATTATTTACATATCATATTTGATTTTTAATTATATTTACTGCTTGGTAACTAATGGAGCAATTAAGTTGTATCTTTACCCATAATATTACAGCATGATGTATTTGGAGATTGTATTTTTAATAATCCAAATATATTATATGAAATAGAATCTGTAAAGTAACTGGTATTTACTGTGAGATACCAACAAAAAGAAATACGCACCATCATGTCACTGGTAATTCAGAAAACAACCATTTCTGTATTAATTTTGCATGCTTACTGATCTTTCTCTTTTTTGTGTATGTTCATAAACCTGCTCAGAATGATTTTTTGCAACATAGGCAACAAAACATGGCGGAGCAGGGTCAGCAGGTGTGTCTGTCTGTGTAATCTGATTATGTCTGTCTGATGGGGGGCTGCGGGGGGGGGGGGGGGGGGGGGGGGGGGGTCAATACAAGCATTTCAATTCTAAAATGCTGCTCTTCAAATTCTATCCATTGACTTTAGGGCTGTATAGTCTGCCGTAACACATAATGGGGACAATCTCTATGAAGACGACATCTACAGTGTGGTGCATCATGAAGGCATTCATAGTGATTCATAAATACAAATAATGCTTGAAATATTTTTAGTGGCATATATGCTCTTGGCTAATTATAAACCAGACTTTATCATCTTCATTTTTAATACATTTTAACTACATGCAATCGCCAAAACACACCTCAACAATTAACTGTATTAAGGACATTTAGTGTGCTATATAGTCCATGAAGTGTCATAAGTTTCATGCATTTAAATGAATACATGCTTCAATATAACTGATTATTATGTTTTATATATACATATGTATTTACTATGAATGCCTATCACTAAATGTGATCTTAATAAAAGGTGTAAAAGTGTCATTATGATGCATTTTTTCGAAAAAGGTCATAGTATGTGTTTCATTGAAAGGTCATAGTATATCATTCAAAAGTTATAGTATAGTATGTCATAAGGGAAAGAGTCATTGTGTATCCAGTCCATTAGAAAACATAAACATAGGCCTACAAACATAATGTTATGATAGCTTCTCTCCAGTAGGCCGTGTCTTTGCGCTGCAGAACCAAACAGAATATGAACGTAAACATGCGTGAAGCGGCACGTTCAGCACCACGAGCTGAGCCCACATCCGTGCTGCAGGGAGGCCACGAAGCTAACCATGCAAAACATGTCTGATGAAATGTGGTGACATGAATGTTTGATGAAACGTGTTTTCAGGTTGTGGAGTCTGGGAGAGACCAGACTGCAGCTGTCAGTGAGGAACAGCAGAGAGGAGCAGCAGCCCCCCCCGCTAAAACTACCTCCACCCCCCCCACCACCGCGCTACCCCTCAACACGACACCTGGAGAAAGAGGTCATTGCTTGTGTGGTGTGTGTGTGTGTGTGTGTGTGTGTGTGTGTGTGTGTGTGTGTGTGTGTGTGTGTGTGTGTGTGTGTGTGTGTGTGTGTGTGTGTGTGTGTGTGTGTGTGTGTGTGTGTGTGTGTGTGTTTCACAGTAAGAACTCAGGGTGTTTCTTATGGCTAAACACTGTAACTCTTCTCCATGTGGCTAGATGTGCCTCACATGAATATCAACAGTTTCCACTGTGCTGGTATTTGTGTTGAGGCCAGACTGTTTACACACTGTAGGAATTTCCATGACAAAGGTGAGAGATTCTGCGTTCCCTGTTTGGTGTGAGTCAATCTCTTCAGGAAATAATAGGAGAGGGGAAAGACTGCTACACAAACTGGAGTTTTTGCACTTCTTAAGTGCACACTTAAAGGTGGGGTAGGTAATTTTGGAGAAACCGGCTCGAGTGCACTAGAATTTGAAAATACACAGCCGGAAAAAAATCTGCCACTTCCTTACAGAGCCCCTCCTCCAACACACACGAACGCGCACATGACCAATGAGGGCACGAGATAAGTTTGTGCACAGATGGAAGGCTGACAGGCAGGTAGGCCATCCAGTTATTTTAGCCGGGCCGGCTCAGATGATTGGTCGTGCTTTTTACAGTACTACGGCTTCCACAGATGACATTTTTTTATGGATTTTTAAGCACTTAAGATATTCATTGCTATCGGGATGTTAAGAGCATTCCATGGAATATAACAAAAAGTGTATCTCGAGCCGGTTTCTCAAACTTACCTACCCCACCTTTAAACAAGAATTAGTTTCGGAAACATTCACACCCCTACAGAACCAGAAACCAGTCCTCACTGACGCAGAGATTTAACTTTGGATAAGAATCCTTCTCGTTGTGCAACATGTTGATCAGACAACATGACTACAGG